ACCGGTGCTGTTGACAAACAGCACCGGTGGCGGTCGTTGTTAACCCGGGCCTCGACCGATCCGATATTCATTCAATCAACCTTTATTTCTACAGGTAAATCCCATTGAGCCTCGAGGACTCATTTACAAGAGAGACCTGATTTCAACAAAGAAAGATGACAACAATGGACAACAGCAACAACAATAAACAGTTATAAAAAGTCATAATACAGTTGTTTTTTTTTTTGTTTTGTTTTTTACAAATAGGATGGCTAAACGAAAAAGGTAACAAAACAAAAACAGCTAGATTCTAAGGTATATGGTTTCTCTTTGATGAACTCGCATTATAGTTTTGGCAAAAGTGTTTTACATTGGATGCTCTTCCTGACACAACCCTCACCTTTTACCCGGGCTTGGGACCAGAACCAGACACACACTGGCTTGTGTTCCCCAGTGGCTGGTTTCAGCCGTGACATGAGGCAAATCAGTTTCTTTTAAACTACTATAAATGTTTTCTACAAGCTCTGAACATAAGGAAATAATTTATTCAGGAGCAGCTCAGTAAGACAAGAAGGATCAGAAGGATAAAGACCCAGAAATAAACAAGTTCTAAGATTCATTAAGTTCATTAAAACGTTTCAACTTTTGTTTCATTCATACTTTAATGCTTCAATGTTTTACATCAAAATAACAAGAATAAATGTCAACAAAAAGCCCATTATATTAAATTTAGATGGCTGAAATAAACAACACTCATAGGTTTTTTTTTCGTGAAGGATTTCCCGACTTCGTCCAAAGTTCTTTTACCTTAGAATGAAATCAACATTTACGTACCAGTGCGGGGGTTGATGGTGAAGAAATTCTGGGGGTTTCCACTGATGATGCGAAAGCTGAGCCAGTCAGTGTTGGTGGGCGACACATCTGGATCTTGAGCCTGGATTTGGACTACAGAAACGTCGCGGGGAGAATTCTCAGGTACCGAGCACCGGTACAAAGGCTCAGAGGTTAGAGGGGCGTTGTCGTTAATGTCCTCCACTTCAATGAACACCTCAATGGTGGTGAACTGGGGAACAACGCCACGGTCGCTGGCGTACACTGTGAGCCAATAGGAGTCCTTGGTCTCCCGGTCCAATGTGTCCGTAGTGTAGATCATACCTGACAGAGGAGGACACAAACAGGACACTGAACAAACTGCTGCAATATGACTACTGGGTGATCTTTGCAGGATCTTAGTGAAGTCTTGAGTTTATTAGGAACACAGTGGGCTCCTCATTACATGTAACGCTCTGTGATGGTTTAAACATGCACTGAACTTCTGTAGCGAGGCTGTGAAGGTCGTGGAGTGTACAGTGAGGTCGTCAATGAACAGCTGAAACACAATAAAACTTTCACTTTGTTGTGTGGAATGTTTCTTTTATAATCAATATCTTTCTATGCATTTCTCAATTATTTTCTATTCTATTCTAAATAAGAATCATTTTTATTTTTAAAAACGTGTTAAAAACAGATCTAGTATTCCTTAAAGGAATACATATTGCCCACAGCCTTTTGTGATGGTTTTAGACTGCAATCTTTTTATGTTGAAATATTATGGAGGTAGACAACAGCTGTTTTTTGTCAAACCTTGAAATTGTGTGGATTTGAAGTTATTTTCCTGTTGTGGAAAATCAAACTGTTTATTTTAGGAACCAGTTAACAACCAGCTCTAACACCACTGGAACCTCTTTAGTTGCCCACTTCAACATGACAAGGCTGTGGCTCAAATCCCCGATCCTACAATAGTAACATAACTCTAGTCACAATTCTTTCTATTCACTTTTCTTCTTTCTATTATTTTTTTAATTTGATAGTAATTGTATTATCTGCTATACTGCAGATTCTGTTGGAGACAACTGACAACACAACACAGGCTGAACACAATATCCTGATAAACTAAACTTGGACATTATTTGTTCAGCAAGTAGGGCAGTTATTCTTGCCCAAAGCAATGAATTTATGCAAGTGGGAAATAATCAATTCAATTCAGTTTATCTATATAGCACCAAGGCACAGCAGAAGTCGTCTCAGGGCACTGAACAGAAACATTCATATATAAAATAAATCAATGATGGATGGACAGGTCTTTGTTGTCCACTTCACCACTTGCTCTAGCCGAGATCGGATGCTTCCCTCCCTCCCTCCCTCTCCGCTTTGCTTTGCTGCTCTGTCTGTCTGTGAAACTGCTCTGAGCCTCTCTTGCATCTTCTGAACCATAATTATGGACTTGTTTGGACCAGTTGGTCCCTCAACTCAATTTTCAACATTTCTTCAAAGAGAAGACAGGCTTTAGGCGAGCCGATTTGCCCTGTTGGCACGCACACAGCTGGATATCTCATTGACTTGGAAGACTTGATGATGTATCTTTCTCTGCTGCCATCTGTGGATTTTAAGGATGCATATTTAATTGGATTTTCGATAACTGGTTCCTGCTTTTTGGATTTGGCTGGTTACTGGTTCAAGGAAGTCGTCTGCAGCAAATTTGGACCCGATCACGCTGCTTGCCTTTATGATGGCTTGGTTTGTGTCTCGAGTACCCAAACTCAATTGCTTTGGGCTGAATGGATCAGATCTTGGGGATTTTACTCAGTCACGTTCCATCGGTGTGGCCATGTAATTTGGACATTTCAGAACTGAGTCGACCAACACAGACTCAAGGTAGATGTCATTAAGTTCTGCCTGTCCCCAAAACAATTGTGTATTTATCTGAATTTGGCTCCCTTGGCTGGCCTTGAAGGTCATCTTATCTGAATTTGCCTGGAGAACATGTGATCTGATGCTCACCACCCTCTCCCTGAGGAATTTCCAACTGATAACCAGATGGAACCAGCTGAATAAACTTGTGTCATCATTTCAGGACTCTTGGATTCTCATAGACGTTATTCTTGGCCATTCCTCGACATCCCTCGAGAATGTTTATGGATCTCACCGGAGGAAATTGACTGATTATTCCATCCTTATCAGAACTCTTACAGTGACCTCGAGAGCATCTATAAACATTGCTGACCGCTCTCGTCTCCCCCATCTGCAGAATGTCTATGTCACTATGTGCTGTTTGTGCGAGGTGTTTTTTTAATATTAGAGGGTTTTTTTTCTCTCAGGCAAGAAAAAAAAATCTGATAGGAATTTTTTTCGCCTCCAACTCCTACATGTGTCCAGTTAACCACTGTTTATGTCTGTCCAAACAGGTCTCACTTGTAAATGAGTCTTCGAGGCTCAATGTGATTTATCTGTTTAAATAAAGGTTGAATGAATGAATGAATGAATGAATGATTCCTTCCACGTGTCGGTATCAAGGGCGCCACCAGGGGAGGGCCAAGGAGAGCAATGACAACCCCCCCCCCCCCCCCA